CTAATAGAAGTAAACAAACATAACAAAAATATAAAAGTTTATAATTGTCTGATTACCCCCTGGCATTAAAACTCAGTATAGGCGGTGTGGTAGTCCATATGATGAGTCCACTTTGTAGCACTGATATACACATATATTAACATACATTAGCATACATTTACATGCATATTTCCATCCTACTTGGCCTCATTCTCATACATTTACATCCACATATCTCTATCTATTCACTTGCATCTCATTAGGACTTGCATTGCATATACATTGCATTTTGAGTCTGAATCAGGTGCTTAATGGAGCTTTGGAGCCATTTGGGAGAAGGAGTGTCGGAGACGTCAAGACGAAGAGCAACCAGGATGCGAACCAGGATCAGAAACCCGTTTGTCGCCTTACAAGCTTTCCTTGACCAAGAAGAGAGTTGACCATGCCTTAATGAAACGCGGCGTTCTGGAGCTTAAATCTTGGGGAAGGAAAGAAGAAGGGTTTTAGAAGTCTCCACTATATAAACTAAAAAGTCCTAAGTTTTTAGGCATCTTGTAATTTGTCTTTCATTTTGCCACCAAGAAATACTCTAGTTCGAGATCTAAGACTTTGTAAGCTTTGGTCTCTTTCTCTTAATCAAATCACGTACTTGTCTATTTGCATTACTGTTTCCATCTCATTTTACTTGTGAAACAACCTTCCTCTTATGAGAATCGGGTTGTCAAACAGGATGAGTGAGTAGTCTTTAGATTGTTTTAGGTGATTCGGTTTTGAGAGCTTTAAAGGAGAGTTTGGGCTTAAAGCTAGAACCTTTAGAGTTTCTCCTTGCTTAGTGCCCTTAAGGCTGAGTCATTTCTGATCATCTTGGCTCAGATCTCAAGCTCTCAACACATCAAAAGTGTGTTTGACGAGCTAGATAATCTAAGACAAGGGATCCGCTTTTCTAGCTCGCGATAGCGATTTGTTTAGAAAGCTTTTTGGTGATGGGATCTGCGTTTAAAGCTTGCTTGTGTGTAAGCTCACTCACGATAGTGAGCTCTTGAGTTTGGACCTTGCATTCGAGCTCATTCACGATAGTGATAAGCTCTTGCTTTCGTTTTCCTTAGCCTAGAAACTCGGTTTTATCTCCTAAGTCTTAAAGCTTCTTCCTTTAGCTCGATTTCATCCGAAATCACCTAAAGCCATCGCCTTTCTTCTTTTCCTTTTCAAAGTTCAAGTCTTTTAGCTCAAAGTCGATTTCTTTCCTCTTTGAATTGATTTGGACCGTTATTTCACTGTTCTAAGTTTGTATTTTTACTGTTTAACGTTCGGATTTCATAAAAACCAAATCTTGTTCTTGGCTTGAAGTTTTCTTGTTCAATCTCTAGAACCCAATCTTCCTGAGATTTGGATTGATACCTTAAACTATACTGCAATGATATGAGCAGAGATTTGAGGGTTTGGATCTATCAAAAATCTTGTTTTCAAGCACCTCGGTGCGTTCCTACCGGGGCTAACCGAATGCTGATAGGATCTATAAAAAAAAAAAGGTAACACAAAACCATCATAAATCAAAACAACAAATATAAATTAAAGGATATTTCCTAAACATAAAATTATGGGAAACAACCCGCGCTTGCGCGGGTTTCCATCTTTCCTTTTAGAGTTTACCACTCTTCATAGCTTCTTGAACTTTCTTTAGTTTAGGGTCTTGCTCCCTGAGTTCCAGAGTCTACACTTCAAACCTAGTAAAGATTAATAACAAAATCAGTTCTATAAAAGAACACATTTCTCAAAATCTTATTAATCTTACAAAGGAATTACATACAAACAAAAGTAAAATTTAGAAAAAAGGCAAAGATTTACACAAATTTTCAGTCTACGATTATCTGGACGATCACGATCACGTTTGATTTTCTTTTGAATTAAGATACAAACAAAAACGCAGTGTTTGAGCCTACCTATAGTAAGAACTAACGAAACAAGAACTTGTGAATAATTGTTTTGTTGGTCCAACTCAAGAAACTTTGGTCAGTTTGCCCTCTGTGAAGGACATGGCGCGTTTGATGATTGATGATTGATGTCAATGTCAAAATGCAAATTAATGAATAACAGAAAATGTTTTCACTTTGAGCTCGTTTACATCAATTTGCGAATATGATTTGGACTATGTCACTGTACATGGTCGTCCATGGTAGCGCAAAATGAGAAGTGTAATTTAATTGGTTCTTTTAATTGAGTCTAGATATATAAAAATTGATGGAACAAATGATATACCTACAATTTACAAATAGTATAATATTGCATAAATATCATATGATATAAGTTATAACTATTTGGTGCATCTTCCAAATACCAAGCTAGAATGATAACTTTGAAATAAAATTCAAAAATTACATTGTCATGGACAATTAAGCATTGATTACTTCCACAGAAAAAAACAAAGAAATAAATAAATAAAAACATGATGCTTCCCATTGATCATATGAATTACTGGTTGCTTTTCATTCATCCACCCACAACCGTCATTGGCTTGGCTTTATTTTCATCATATTTCAGTCCATCTACCCGCAAATGTGATAGGCATGGTTTTATTTTCCTGGATGTAAACTCCGTCACTTTTAGCAATCCATAAACGGAGCTCATTATTACATGGAGTCTCTCGACTTGGCGGCTTCAAGAAGAATGTAAGACGAGGTGACGGTTTAGTTTTAGGTGGTTCAATGAACAACTCAGTAACATCGGGTCTTATACAACACCGAATACCTATGTTTCCTGGTGTAACTACTTGTTTCTCATTGAATTTCAGTTTCATCACCTGTCGTCGACCACCTTGTACAACGACGAGCATCTGACCAGGACCGAGTTTATTTTGAACTTGGAACAAACTGCAACCTTTTGCTCCAATCAACCCCAAATAAATAGCAATAACTAACACAAAAAGTTTGAGATTATTCATTTTCTTAAACAAAATATTATGGATGAATATGAATCTAAAGGCATCAATACGTAGTATTTATATGAAAAGACGTTTTGTGATGAATGTTTAATGGTTTTAGCTAAATTTTAGCACAAATATGAACCAATTGATTCTTTGGTCGAAAAGGAATACAATGTCGAAAAGCAAGGATGGCCAAGAAGATCAAAATATGTAAGATTTAACTTTACAAATTATAACTGACTAAGAGTATTGCTTGGTTAATGTTTTTTTTTTTTTTGTTAAAAATTGCTTGGTGAATGTTTAAGGCAAAAAAATATGGAATATCATCTATGGAGTTAGGATTTGTTCATATGTAAATGAGTTCTTTTAAAACTTAGTCAACACGTGCTCTTAAATACATTTAAAAAAAATATATATCAATAATGATAGAAAACTGAAAGTCTGAAAATCATAATTAATACAAGTGTCCCTTAACTTAATAGTTAACTAGATCTTGACCAGTGCTTGGGAAGCACAGGTAATTATAATTTATATTGTGTTGATTTAAGTAATTAATTAATTAATTATGATTTTTAATATATTTGTTTTTCTATTTGGGCTCGGAAATGTGTAATTATGTTCAAATGGGTTGTATAATCTATATGGGCCTTAACTAAATTAACATAATCGTTGCCAGACTGAACAAAGTGACATCGTTTTATTAAATTCCAATTCAATAAAATTTCCAATTTAATAACGTTTTTCAAAATTGAATTGGGGAAACAACTCACAAACCCTAGTTTGTCTGATTACGGTGACGATACAATCGTGATGTTGTGTTGATTTTTGAAGCACGGGATCAATTTTTGAAGATTTTAGGTTTTTGTGTTAATTTTAATTTGAGGTTAAATAAAAATAAGACAAAAAATGATAAATTAAGTAGTAATATTTGGGCTGTAATAATTCCGCTCGAGTATGGCCCTAAAACGGATAAGTTCATTTCGCCTGTTTTGTATCCATCAAATTAACATCAGCATTTGCGGCATCTAGATCGTTTGTTTAACATCTTGCGCAAAACGAAAAGTTGCACAATTTAGGGGAATGGGAGAAATCGAATCCCAATTCGATTTAATATCTAGTCTTCAGATATGAAATTAATTTGGCGACTCCGTCGAATCTGTATAATTTAAATGAAAAAAAAGAAACTTGTAATAAGTCCAGTATATCCTTGAACACTTAAAATAATATATTCTCAATTTGATATCATATAAAAAAAATCTATAAATCCAATATTCTATTCTTTTCTTCATTTATAAATTTGTCTATGAGACATATTAAAGTCAAGATTACAAATTCTCACATTTATCAGTCTTGTTCTTTCTTTATATTTTTTTCTGAAAAGACCCGAATCTAAAAGAATGTTGCACTTACATGTGATGTTGCTAACATTTGAGTTAGTTAAATTTGTGAATATTAGATTTATAAGATTGGATATTGTTTTTGACATTTTTTTATTCAAGAGAACTAAACCGTCTCCATCTACATTAGTTTTTTGTGTTAGTGTAAAGCTCAGTTTTAAAAAAGAAAAATTGGCAATTTAGGGTCTCTTGTTCGTAGATTTATTCCTTTTCTTTTCTCTTCATTTCACTTTTGATTAGATCCATCTTTTTTTCTCATGAAACATATTAAAGTCAAGATTATAAATTTTCACCTTTATCAATCCCGTTATTTCTTTATGTTGTTTCCGAAAAAAACCCGGATCTTAAAGAATGTTGTACTGACCCGTGATGTTGCTAACATTTGAGTTAGTTAAATTTGTGAATATTAGATTTCTAAGATAGGATATTTTTTTGATATTTTTTTTATTAAAGAGAACTAAACCGTCTCCATGGGCATTATTATTTTTTTGTTAGTGTAAAGCTCATTCCTAAAAAAGAAAATTAGCAATTTAGATAAAGAAAACAATACTCTTGTTTATAGATCCATTTTTTTTTTCATTTGTTAATTTGTTCATGCGACATGTTAAAGTAAAGATTACAAACTTTTACATTTTGATTAGATCCGGTTTTTCTTTCTCACCAAAAAGGATTTAGATATAAAAGAGTGTTGGTTTTGACTTGTGATGTTGCTAACTTTTGAGGTAATAAAATTTGAGAATATTAAATTTCTAAGTTTAAGTTTAGATATTGTTTAGATCTAAATCGTCTCTATCAATTTTTATATATATTATTTTTTTTGTATTAGTATGAAGCTCATTTTTATTTTTGAAATTTGGTAATTTTTATATATAACATAATAATACCCATAAAATAGATCACAACCTTATCCATTCATAACTCGTGCGAATGGACTCTATAGTACGAAGGTCCAGTTTTATTATTTTCTTCTCTTGTAAACTTGTGTAACGCCCAACATTAATCTGGTTCATGAGAAAGTCTAAGTCAACATTACAATTTTCTTTGCTTTCTCCAAGTGAAAGAATTATGAATAATCGATTCATCTCTCTCTCATGTGTGTTGTGGATCTCAGACCGTCAAACGCCTCCAGCATCATCGTGATGTCTCTCCTCACGGCAACCTTCGCCCTGCCGACTCCGATGTCCAGCCATTTCCTTTTCCGAAGCAATCCTTCGATTTCTCCTTGCATGCGAAATCAGAGAACGCATACCCGCTTTATGTTTCTTCTCTCTCTCAATCTATGAATCATCGTCTACGAATTCAGGTACCTTCGAGTTGATTCTCTTTCCGCTTAATCAACTTCTTGACCTGCAATTCCCCAATCTTCGATCGTCGGTCTGGGAATTATCCTTATTTGTTTTGCTATTCCATTTTCATGCAGCTAAAAGACTCAAGCTCCACCTGGTTTGTAAACCCAGGTAATTCTTTGAAAACACTCATCCCGTCGGTGGGACGGTGTTTCTGGGTTTTGTTTGGGGGAGGGAGACGGCCTTCTTTCGTTTCTGGTCCCTAATGTTTTATTTCTATCACATATATCCTCACTTGTTTTTAATTTTACAGTTTGTGCCCTCTGGGTAGGAGACTGCGCTTTTGCTTTTCATGATTGATGTCAATGTTACTTGAAATGCAAATTAATGAATAACAGAAAATCTTTTCACTTTGAGCTCGTTTATTTACATCAATTTGCGAATATGATTTGGACTATGTCACTGTATATGGTCGTCCATGGTAGCGCAGAATGAAAAGTGTAATTTAATTGGTTCTTTTAATTGAGTCTAGTTAGATATAAATTGATGGAACAAATGATATATACCTACAATTTACAAATAGATATAGTATTGCATAAATATCATCTGATACAATTATTTGGTGCATCTTCCAAATACCAAGTTAGAATGATGCTTTCGAAAATAAAATTCAAAAAATACATTTCCATAGGCAATTAAATATTGATTAGTTCTACGAAAACAAAAAACGTGATGCTTCCCATGATCATATGAATTATTGGATGCTTTTCATCCATCCATCCATCCACAACAGTCATTGGCTTGGCTTTATTTTCATCATCTTTCGGTCCATCTACCCGCAAATGTGATAGGCATGGTTTTATTTTCCTGGATGTAAACTCCGTCACTTTTAGCAATCCATAAACGGAGCTCATTATTACATGGAGTAAATCGAGGTGATAGTTTCAAAAAGAATAGAATATGAGAATTCGGTTTAGTTTTAGGTGGTTCAATGACCAAATGACAAGGATAGACTGAGAAAGGCATATGTTTGCTCAAACGCGCTATTCCTGGTGTAACTACTTGTTTCTCATTGAATTTCAGATTCATCACCGGTTGTCGTCGACCACCTTTTGCAACGAAGAGCATCTGACCAGGACCGAGTTTATTTTGAACTTCAAACTTATCACAACCTTTTGCTCCAGTCAGTCCCAAATAAATAGCAATAACTAACATAAAAAGTTTGAGGTTATTCATTTTCTGAAACAAAATATTATGGATGAATATGAATCTAAAGGCATCAATACGTAGTATTTATATGAAAAGACATTTTTGTGATGAATGTTTAATGGTTTTAACTAAATTTAAGCACAAATATGAACCAATTGATTCTTTGGTCGAAAAGGAATACCATGTCGAAAAGTAAGGATGGCCAATAAGATCAAAACATGTAAAATTTAACTTTACAAATTATAGTTGACTAAGAGTATTGCTTGGTTAATGTTTTTTTTTTTTTTGGTTAAAAATTGCTTGGTGAATGTTTAAGGCAAAAAAGTATGGAATATCATCTATCCAGTTAGGATTTGTTCATATGTAAATGAGTTCTTTTAAAACTTAGTCAACACGTGCTCTTAAATCCATTTAAAAAATATATATATATATATAAATCTATACTATATAAAAGTTGAGGTTATAAGCCTTTAAGGACGTCCACATCAGCTTTTAAGAAACCAATTTAATTTCGCCAAATCATCATTTTAATTTAAAAATCGAAAATTAAATAACTTTTTGAGAAAACTAACATTATTGAAGAATAGAAATTGTACTATTGTAAAATTTTCATATTTACATTACGGCACCAATTACCTTAACCCATTATTTTAGATAGTTTAATGGAAATTCAACATAAAAAGAGTTAAACTAACAAAAAGAGCAAAAAAAAGAAAGAAACAAATTATTAATAAACTGGAAATTCAATGTTGGAAAAGCTAAACTTACTAATTAGAATAAAAAGGAAATAAAAAATTTAGCTATTTGAATGCTTAGCATTGGCTATAAATAGTCCTCTAAACTTTAGAATACACATACACGAGTTCTAAAGACAACCATATTCTTCACGAGAGAGCGTTTATTAAAATAGCTATGTCTTCTCCAGCTCTTCTGTTTCTGATCAGTTACGGCGTCCTTTTGTTTTCGATGAACTCATTAAGGATTTTGTAAGAATGAGCTGCTTGCTAAAGTCATCAACTTTTGGAAGGCAAGGAACCCTAAAAAAGGACACTACAAGAAAACAGACCATTTGCAACGAAAATTACCAACGAAATATTTTCCTCGCAAAATAACGTCACCGTTACGATGTTATTATGACGAAAAGTGATATCGTTGTAAATTCATCGCAAATAGGGACAAAATCAGAACGTCGTAAATTCGTCGTTAACTAGCGTTGCTTTTACGACGAATAAGCAACGAAGACAAAGTTGATCGGTAATTCGTCGCAAACTGCCGACGAATTACCAATGTAAACACTTCGTAGCTAGTTCCCGTCGAATTACCAACCAGAAAACAGATATTACAGATTTCGTTGTTAATCCCTTGCTAATTTTGCGACGAATTACCGACTTCAGCACTTCGTAGCTTCTTACCGTCGAATTACCAACAAAGAAAAAGATATTACAGATTTCGTTGTTAATCCCTTGCTAATTTTGCGACATATTTACTATGGCCGAGTTAGGTGCACCCGTAAATTAAAAACATGTCATTAATTTTTGTACCGGTAATTTAACAACGAAACAACGACGTAATTTCGTTGCGAATACACTCAGTCGATGCAAAATCATTGCAAATTCGTTGTACATTTCGTTGCTAATTCGTTGCAAACTTAGAAAATTTTCCTATATATACACGACTTCACAACTGAACTTTTCTCATTACTAAAAATATTTCTCCGGTTGTCCAAAAAAAAACCTCTCTCCAGAAAAAACAAAAAAAATCGGGGCAATCCTTTTTAATATGTCAATTTACGAACTCCGGGGGTGGATGTACGATCGCAAGTTTCCGACGGTTTGCTAAAGAAGGAATTCAGAGATGGTCTTGAAGGGTTCATGTACCAGGCTAGCACACTGCAAATTACGATTGAAAGCGGTAACAAATTTATATATTGTCCCTGTCCAAAATGCTCAAATAGAAAATTTGTGACTATTTCGAGGGTATGGTCGCATTTATTACAGAGAGGATTTATGCCAAATTACTATATTTGGTATTGTCATGGGGAAGGTTATGGGGGAAATGCAGCTAGTAGTAGTAGTAGTAGCAATAACTATAACCAAGGAATGCCATTAGAGGAGAATGTGCATCTAGTTGATCATCAGCCTGTAAATTACAATAGTGATGTTGTTAGGATGCATGAGATGGTTACAGATGCATTTCGTGAAACCGTAAATAGATTTGGTGAACCTCAGAATGTAGCGCATGAGGAACCCAATGCAGATGCAAAAAGGTTTTTTGATATGTTAGCAGCAGCGGATCAGCCTTTTTGTACGAAGGATGTACTAAGGGGCACACAAAATTATCGGTGGCAGCTAGGATGATGACTCTCAAACTGATGGTAATCAAAGTCAGTTTTCTTTGGACGGTTGGGCCGATCTATTTAAGGATATTTTGCCGGAAGACAATGTCGCTGCTGGTTCTTATTACGACATACAGAAGCTGGTATGTAGTCTTGGGTTGCCTTCTCAGATGATAGATGTTTGCGTTGACAATTGCATGTTTTTTTGGAAAGATGATGATAAGTTGCAAGAGTGTCGATTCTGCCACAAGCCCCGATACAAGCCACAAGGTCGTGGTCGGAACAAGGTACCTTACCAACGGATGTGGTACCTGCCAATAAAAGATAGGTTGCAAAGATTGTATCAGTCTGAAAGGACGGCTGCATTGATGAGATGGCATGCCAATCACTCACATACAGATGGGGAGATTCGACATCCATCTGATGCTAAAGCGTGGAAGCATTTCCTAGCCGTGCACCCCGAATTCGCCAGGGAGAAAAGAAATGTCTTTCTGGGTCTTTGCACCGATGGATTCAGTCCTTTCGGTATGTCTGGCAGGCAATACTCTCTTTGGCCGATAATACTCACGCCTTACAATCTTCCTCCTGAAATGTGCATGAAAAGGGAATTCTTATTCATGAGTATCTTGATCCCTGGTCCGAAACATCCGCGCCGGTCCCTTGATGTTTTCTTACAGCCTTTGATAGAAGAATTGCAAGAGTTGTGGTACACTGGAGCTCGGACGTATAATACTTCAAGGAAGAGAAATTTTACTATGCGTGCAGTGCTTATGTGGACAATAAGCGACTTTCCGGCGTATGGGATGCTTTCAGGGTTGACTACTCACGGGTGGTTATCTTGCCCATATTGTATGGATCGAACGGATGCTTTTCAGCTAAAACACAGGAGAAAGACAAGTTGGTTCGACTGTCTCCGCCGTTTCCTACCGTTGAACCATAGATACCGAAGAAACAAGCAACTGTTTAAGAAGAACAAAGCAGTTCGTGTTCCTCCTCCCGTCGTCTTACCTGGGGAAGACATTGAAGCACAAATTGATCATTTTGGTGCACAAAGTACAGTCAGACGTGGGGGCAACTGGCACACCCCCATAAACATGCCCGACGGATACGGGGATCAGCACAATTGGCATAAGAAGAGCATTTTCTGGGAACTTCCGTACTGGAAAGATCATCTTCTCAGACATAACCTGGATGTCATGCACATTGAGAAAAATTTCTTCGATAATATCATGCATACAGTGCTGAACGTCAAAGGGAGAAGTAAAGACAGCGTGAAGGCCCGATTGGATTTGCCTGATCTTTGTTCACGGAATGAGTTATATATTTCAAATGACGGGAGTATGCCAGTTCCTATCTTTCAGTTAGGAGCTGCTCAAAAGTCGGCCTTGTTCAATTGGGCTTCATCGGACGTCAAATTTCCAGACGGGTACGTTTCAAATCTATCCAAATGTGTTCAAGGACAGAAGTTTTTGGGGATGAAGAGCCATGACTGTCATGTATTTATGGAACGATTACTTCCTTTCGCACTTGAGGAACTTCTTCCATCAAGTGTCCACACAGCAATTGCAGGTATACATTGAAATTGGTTTTCGATCTAGAATAAATTTAATATCATTGTAGGTACGTAATTAACATGTTTTCATTAAACTTGCAGCGATCGGAGCGTTCTTCAGAGACCTTTGCACTCGTACTCTTACCGAAGATGTTATCGCACAACTGCATCAAAATATTCCAATGTACTTATGCAATATGGAGCAGATATTCCCACCAGCCTTTTTCGATGTTATGGAACATCTGGCTGTTCATCTTTCTTACGAAGCAGAACTTGGTGGGCTAATTCATTTTCGGTGGATGTACCCGTTTGAGCGATTCATGGGGCATCATCTTAAGGGAAAACCTAGAAACTTGGCAAGAGTTGAAGGATCAATAGTTTCGGGCAGTTTTCTCAAGAGACATCCCATTTCACTAAATACTATTTTCCTTCGAAGGTTCGCACACGTAAAAGGGCTCCTAAACGATACGACGATGGAGGAGTGGGTCGATCATATCCATCGGAAGATGTACCGGACATGTTCTCCTCAGTTGGTCGGTTAGGTGGAGCCGTCAAACAGGTTTGGTGGACGGATGAGAATGATCGTCATAGCACACAAACGTATATCCTCCTCAATTGCGAGGACATTACTCCATTTGAGACGTAAGTTATCTCATATGAACTCAGATCTAGAACATTACCGTAATTATATATCTTATATTTTTTTTAATTAATCTATGTTTTTGTTAATTATGTTGGTTTTGAATGCAGGGAATTTTGTAGACAGGTTCGAGAGTGTATCGTAGGGGTTACAGATAACGAGGTAAACAAACGGAAGGATCAACACTTTGCAAAGTGGATTAAATCTTCGGTACAGTTTATATCGTATTGTTTTTCGGAATTTTTTAGTTAATATATATTTTCCACATATTTTTTTTGATACGTTTCATTGCAATATATAAATACAAGGTGGCTCCTGGTGATGAATCATATCCGGAGTGGTTTCATGAAGTAATCAAAGGGCCATTATGGAAGGTCACCACTGCTCCTATATATTGTACCCGTGGATACGTGTTCCATACCTTCAGCTATGGTAAAGAAAGGGCAACTGCGAATTATGGAGTCTGCGTTAGGGGTGAAGTTGATTTTTATGGTGTGCTACAAGAAATTATTGAAGTTGAATACCCGGGTATCCTTGGTTTGCGATGTGTGCTTTTCAAGTGTGATTGGTTCGACCCAACTCCCGGGAGAGGTGTAAAGGAGAACAAATATGGAATCGACGTAAACCAATCGAGGCGCTACAACAAATTTGAACCGTTTATCCTAGCTTCACAGGCTGAGCAAGTTACCTTCGTTCCATACCCCCGAGTTCGAACCACATGAATCAATTGGTTATCAGTTGTCAAAGTCTCTCCACGAGGCACAGTTATTGGCGACGAGGAGGAGCCTCCACTGCAACAAGATCATTGTCCAGGTTTAGCAGAACCAGATGAGAACACAGGGCGTATCCTATTAGTAAATCCCGAAAACCGGCAGTTCATTCATCAACCACCCAATTCAACAGAGGACGAGGAAGGAAGTGATCCAGATGAATTCTCGGAGAGTGATGAACCTGATGATCAGGATAGTGTGCAAAATGAATCCGACGAGTATTGACATAAATGCATCGCCTACAATTCACGCAATATAATGTATCATATGTAATAAATTAGAAAAACATTTGTGTTTGCATTAATAATTTGAATATGTATCATATTTCGAAGTTTTTAAATCTATTATTATTATGCTTCAAATGTGTAACCTACATTTGGAAAGTAAAACAAAACTCAAATGTTGTAAATTCCTCGCAATTTGCAACGAATTTGCAGCGACTTACTTGCGAATCCGTTGCAAATTAGTGGTAAATTTAATTTTGAAAAAAAAAATCCTATAATCTGGGTCAGAGATCGCTCTTCCGGAAAGTGTTAAGCGCAATGGAAAAACATTTTCCGAAGAGCGATCTCTGGACCTAGATTGATGGAAATGTTTGAAATGTGTTTAAAATTGTAAGAAATTTTGTTTATTTTGTCAATTTCTCTTTCAAAGAAACTCCTCTCGAGAAATGTTTTCAAAACTAATGCCAAACATTTGCCGAGAGATAGTCCCGTTGAAGAGAAATGAGACAACTTTTATAGATTGGAAGAGTGGGTGATTATTAGAAGTGTAAGGATGAATGTAGGTGAGATGGTCCTTTTATAGACAAATTTTGTGTCTCGACTTAGTTGGAAAAATGTGGCTAATTAATACCTCGCATATTGCAACGAATTTACCATAAATGCGTTGCAAAATCCTGGTAAACCTAATTTAAAAAAAAAAGGGCCAACGATCACTCTTTCGGAAAATTTTCGAACATCAAGAAAATTTGGGAAAATGTGGCTAATTCCTCGCAAATTGCAATGAATTTACCATGAATGCGTTGCAAAATCGTGGTAAACATAATTTCTAAAAAAAAAAAGCGCCAGAGATCACACTTCCGGAAACCTTCTGAACATCTAAAAAATTTGTTATAGTTTTTCTATTTTTCCTTCAAAAAAATTCCTCGGGAAAAATGTTTTTCAAATTTAATGCAAAACATTTACCCCGGGAAATTTCTTTTGAAGGAGAAATGAGACAACTATTAGAAAGAGGGAGAGTGGATGATTGTTAGAAATGTGGTGATGAATGGAGGTGTGTTGGTCCTTTTATAGACAAAATCTGGGTTTTCACTTTGTTGGGAATCTCTCGCTAAATCATGACAATTTGCGATGAAATAGCAAGGAGTATGTTGGTAATCCCTTGCCAATAGCGACGTGTAAATGATGAATTTTGTATATTCGTCGCTAAAACGTTGCAATGGCGAGGGTTTACCAACATATGTGGGTTTAGTCCGGATTACGTCCTTAATTCGACGTAAGTTGAAACCCTAAACTCTTAAAACATTTAAGTACACTCAATTATTCAACTACCAACCCAACCAAACAATAAATGATAATACTCTTATTGTTTAATCCAATTTACTTGCAGTTTTCGAGTTTATAACAAAGAGGAACAAGTATATCTCATAGTATAAGATTTGTGATATGATATTTTATATTATTTTTGTGATATAAGATTTTCGCAAATATGATGTTTGTATTTAATTTTCTTATAAATTGTTATTTAGCCTCTTTTATACTTTTCTTATATAAATAATGAAGATCTATCAATTTAGGGCAATTAAGGGCTACTCTATCAATTTGGGGTTCATATTACCGACGAATTTCCGAGGAAATATCGTTAAAGTGACGCAAACTTGTGATACTAACACTTTAAAAATATTCCTCATCCAAAATCGAACTTATCACTTTGAGGACCCGGATTAGCAACAAATTGACGAGGAAATTGGAAATATAGGAGCGGAGTTACGACGATTTTCCAACACTCCAATAACCAGTCGCCTTAACGTTGCAAATTCGTAGTAAGCTAAACCCTAAACCCTGAAAACGACGTTTTACACACAATTATTCAGTTACTTACTTAAACAATCAAGAAATAAAAACATTTTTGAGGTTCAATCCAAGTAAACGTGAGTTTCACACTTCATTAAAATGCATATGATAGTGTTAGCTATAATAAGAGTTGTACTATATGTTATCTTAAATGATTTCTTCAAAGTTATGATTTTTTACAAAATGTCATCATACTTAATCGTTACGATTTCTGTTTTTGCTTCCATATACACTCATCGGATGACTAAATCAACGTTTAAGATTTTAGGGTAAATTTAGGGTTTAGGGTACAAATTAACGTCATAAAATAGTCCCAAAATTGTTTTCAATATTACGGTTTTCCTCGGAAGAAATCGAAATTAAATTTTTGGAAGGTCCCATGTTTGCAACGAATTTACCACGAATATATTATATTTTCTTGCTAATTCGTCGCTAATTAGCCAGGAAATAGCAAGGACTCACATAAATGAAAATTTCATTTCCCGGGTGCGGGAAAAGCCAAAATTCGCGAAATTTATTTACGTCGACTTTGCGACGTTTGACACGTGTCGTGGCTAAATCGTCGCAAAAGTTGCATCGAATTTGCAACGATTATTACAATTAAATACTGATAGTAACTTCTCTTCACTCTCATCTCCCTTCTCCATTTTTCCCGAACTCTCTCGAAATCAGACATGAAATCCGACGAGTTTTGACTTTCTAACTCTCTGTTCGCCGGCTGGCCTTCTCAGGCGGTGGTCTTTCGATTTCGGCGGCCGTTCTCTCTCTCTCTCTCTCTCATATTTCGATTTTGGCAGCCGGAAATCCTTTCACTCCGCCTCTCATCTTCCTCCTCCGGTCCTCTCTATCCGCCGCTCCTCTTCCTCCTCCGGTCCTTTCTATCGCCGGCCGTTTATCTCTCGCCGTCGATCTCTTTGTCAGCGGCCGTTTCTCTCCCGCCGTCGATCTCTTCGTCGGTGACCGTTCTGTCCCTCCGCCGCTACTCTTTCTCCGCCGGTCCTCTTTCTCTGCTGCTCCTCCTTCTCCGGCGGTCCTCTCTCTCACGCCGTCCGTTTCTCCCCGCCGGTCCTTCTCCCTCCGCCGAACATCTCTCGTCTAAACCCTAAGGTAATAATTAAAATCAATTTTTGCTAATTTACTAATTAATTAAGTTAGTTATAGATTAAACATGTATATGGTAGATAGAGAATAACATAAATATGGAATGTAGTTAATACTAATTGTTATTTGGTAAAATTATGGTCTATAATTACAATTGTTATAGGGAATTAAAAATGTAGTTATATGGTAAATAGGGAAAATTTTATTTGTTAGATAGAAAATTTATAACCATATAATTAGTATTTGTGAAAATATTAGTGTAGAATTACAATTGTTATAGGAAAAATGTATATTTTAGATAGGGAAAATTTTATTGGTTATTTAGTAAATTTAAAACTTTGTTACTAATATTTGTTAGTTATAAAATAATGAAATAATATTTGGTTAACAATTGTTATAGGAAAAATGTATATTTTACATAAGGAAAATTTATTGGTTATTTAGTAAATTTAAAACTTTGTTACTAATATTTGTTAGTTATGAAATAGTGAAATAATATTTGTTAACTAATATAGTGTTTATACAATTTTGTGTATGTAGATGACAATGAGGCCGTCTACTCAAAACCAATATCATCATTTTTTGTCGGACGGTGCACAAAGCAGCGGTCAGCCGAGTTCGGAAACCTTCATTCCGCAGACTCAGTCACAATCGCACTCACAGCAAGGATATTTTCCGTCGTCACAATATCCACCACCGCAGCAACAGCAAGCTCCACCACAACAAGAGCAAGCTCCACCGCAGCAAGAGCAAGCTCCACCACGTCAACCTCGGCCTTATGCACATTTGACGGCTGATCAAATTCTTGCTCTTCCCGGTCGAGTTACACTTACGAAACTTCATCCGCAAAAAGAAGATGGAGCTTTGTGGTAAAATACAATCTAATAATATTTATTTAGATATTTTTATATATATCAAGATATAAATTAATATATATTTTCAGAATTAATTTATTCTTTTTAAATAATTTCTTTTTTTTAATTTTAATGGTTTTCTAATTATTTGAAAATTATTTTTAAATTTCAGCAACTATACTATTGGGATAATGCCCATAATGAGTTGGTCAAGTTCAATTTTCAGAAGAAGGCTAAGTCGCGTTTAATCAACACCGTGGCTGATTGGAAGAAAAAGTGGAAGAGACTTGGTAATGATGCCAAACCGATGTCCGTCGGACAAACAGTTTGGGATGCTTTGGTTCGGTTTTGGCTTCAACCTACTTCCATCGATAAATCTGGTAAGTGCTCTGCTGCGCGGTTGACTGTTGGTCCAGATGGCAAACCTATCTCCATTCCTCACACAGCTGGCCAGACACCTTTCGCGGGAAGACGTTTAGATATGGTAGTTTCTTTGCTCTTATTATTAATATTACATCCTATTAATACCTACTTTTAATTGATTAACTACTAAAATATCTAACTATACAATATATATTTTCAATTTATATATAGGCTGCAAAGAACGGAGGTGTGCTCCCTCCATTGACTGCTCTTTTTCAGGACACCCATACAAGGAAAGACGGGACCTTCGTAACCCCGAGAGCCGAGCAAATCCACAACGACCTCACTGCTAGAGTTTTGGAGGAGCAAACACAACTATCTCAACAGTTATCCCCGGGCGGTACTCAACATCCGGTGGAATTGGGAACTCCCACGATCGACCGCATCTATGAGCAGGTAATAATATATATATCATTACATATCTATTCTATATATATATTTATTTATATTAACATAATATTTAATAATTATAAAATGTAGGTTGCCCCGAAGAACAAGGGGAAAGTGATTGGGTTGGGTTCAATCCGCCAAGTCCCGATTGCTTCGTCATTTGCTCCGCGGTATCGAGGTCCCGAGGATGATCCGGTCCAACTGCGAGCCAAGATCTCAAGACTTGAGGAGACTATGGAAATTGAGAACTCAGAGAATGATGTTATTTTTAGCATCATTGCTACGCACCACCCCGACATTGCAGCAGTCATGTCAAACAAGAGACGACGTCGGGAAGCTGCTACAGCCGGAGTTACGAGTTCAGCAGCCGGAGCAGCAGAGGAAGAGGAGCTTACAGCAGAGCAACAACGAACGGCGGACATTGCAGCTCAGGCAGCTCGTGAGGCAGGAGACCTCCCGCCTTTTGAATAAATGTATAATATTTTAATATTTTGTATGATATTTTCGGTTAATTTTAATATTTTGTATGATATTTTCGGATAATTTTAATATTTTGTATGATATTTTCGGCTAATTTTAATATTTTGTATGATGTTTTCGGATAATTTTAATTATTGTATTATTTCTTTTTTTTTAAACAAATTATATAAGCGACGTAAATTCGACGGAGAAAAAAAATGTCAAAATTGTGACATCCCTCGTTAAATCGACGTTAACTTGGCGACAAAACAACGACGAAGTTAACCGTCGGATTTACAACGAATTCGTGGGTTTTCTGGTCCATGCAATTCCGGGCTTAATCCGACGTTGTCTCGACGTTAATTTTGCGAGGCTTTTACGACGAATTGTCACCCACGAATTCAACTTTCGTTGTAAATCTGTTGTAACCTTTGCGACAAATTAACAACGAATTCTGATTTTACTGTATGCCCATAGCCGTCTTATATTCGATGGGATATTGTCGGTAAATTTCAGTCGATTTAACGACGACATGTTACCGACGTCTTCTCTTTTCCTTGTAAGTCCGTCGCAACTATAACGACGGCTTTACGACGAATATATTCCTCCCTCATTAACGACGAAGTAACAACGAATATGTTCCTTGCTGATTAACGACGAAATAACGACGAATTTTGTTTTCTCGCTACTGAACGACGAATTTGCGACGAAATTTCATTAACGTCGACCGCTTACCAACGATTTGGAATTCGACGTAAATACGATGCTGTGGTCGATTACCAACGAATTAACAATGTTTTGCTCCGTTGCAAAAGGCCTGTTTTCTTGTAGTGGGAGGTCTGCTTATGGGATATGAACTGCTTCTAATCGATCAAAAGGTAACGACACCAACATTATTTACCAATTACCAATAGAAAGTTAAATCATCATCAGCTTATAATACTCTTTTCTACCATAATTTAATACAGGGAACTACAATCCAAGCATTTACCAGCTTATCGACTAGAAGACTATGAGGAAAAATTAAAGTCTGGTGAAATTTACAAGTTTAATAGTTTTCTGGTCATCAACAACAAAACGAGCTACAAGGTCACCTCTCACAAATTTCTCATCCAATTCCTTCCAAATACAACAATGGTCCAAGCCGATGATGATGACCATACTATTGAGAGGAAAAACTTTAGGATTCGTACCTTTGCCGAGTTTAACGAAGCGGTTGACAAGAACGATGACCTATATGGTAAAAACTGTTTCATATAGTCAATATTCAAATATATATTATGATATCTTCATGTACTGATGTTATACCTATTTTGTGTACATGTCATCAGAAAGTAGGTCCTTATCAACAGCCCAATATTAACTGGTGAAGCTAATGACAACGTCAGTGGTGTGACTAAACGCAGAATAGATAATCATCTACAACTAAGAGAGTAATCACGTTTTACCATAAACTCATAGGTCTTCTAATTATAAATACAAACTCTGTTTACTTACCATTCTTTTTGTGATTACCAATCAGGGGGATAATTGTTCGTGTTACTCTTTGGGATATTGTTGCCGCCAATTTCCAGAAAAAGCTGATGAAGAGAGTTGACAAACATGTAGTTCTCCTCGCTACAACCATGAACCAAAAAACCTTTAAAGGTTGTATTCTCAAACATGTAATTATGCCTTTCCGAGTTTGAAAGTTAAATATATCACTAAACACGTACCATGATATATACATATATAGCTAATATACTCTGTTCTTTATCATCTAACCCTGACATCAAATATTAACTGCATCATGTAGACATATTCTGTTTGTCCTCTACTTCTTCCACCTGGATTTTTTTCGACAATGATGTCAAACCAAGTGCTGACCATTTAACATGGTAAGTACACTGACACACATATACTATTCTTCAGTTGTGCTCTTTTCAATTATACACACACATATACCATGTAGAAAGTTTACCAACCGTGACAATCTCTGGCTGTGATTCACACTTTTGTTTCAAGAAATACTCCACAGCTTTCACATCATCATTTACTACTCTCTCGATCTTCTTAGCTTCCAACGAATCATGAATGCTAAACACATCGATTATGACTTGCAAGTATACATCAGCATCTTTTGAAAAGCTTGGAACTTTGGTGCCTTGACAGACTTTTGAAAGCTACAAAGGCAATTAGATCTACAAAATATAGAAAAAACAAGAGCTTTAGACAGCAAAATAACTCACACATACTTAGTCCACACAAATAAACCTTCACTTGGGTGAGAAACAAGTAGCTCGACAAGTACTGGGAAATTGATAAAACAAAATTAGCTTATGGAAGAGGCAAAGTCCTTAGCTTTACCCAAGTAACGTCCATCCAAAGGGCGAAAAATTTGTAAAATTAGACATCTGCGAGTCTCTGGAACTTGGTGGAGCAGTTGGCATCACCTAGAGTTATAGATTTATAAAAAATTCGCATCCGACCAAATAGATTAAACGCAAAACACACAATTTTAACATCAACAAAACTAGCTTCAAAATAGAGAAAATTCTAACCTTTCACGAAGTGTTTAGCTGGAGAGAATAAGTAGAAGAAACAGAGAATTAAAGTCTTGGAAGAAGGATTAAGGCAAAAACGGTTCCCTCAATCAATTGACTAATTAGTTTTGACAGGTCTCAATCGCTCACAGGGATTAAGGCAGATAACCAAGATGAGAAACAAAGAAGAGGGATTTCGAGGAGTTTAACAATGTTCTGGTGGGAATAAGGTAGAAACATTGTTGGATTTTGTTGTGGGCAAATGAAGAAAAACAACGAAGCATTTCTAATTTCAATGTGATAACAAAACCGAACAATAACAAAGCAGAACAATGGAACTGGGAATTGGAAACACGGTTATTAATTAAATAGGATATGAAAAAGAAAAGTTTGGAATATATGAGACTTTTTAACTATCAAAACAGTGATTTATAAATTAATAAATAAATTTATTAAATGGAATTGAATGCAAAACAGTTAAACTAACAAAAAAGAGAAATAAATTTAGTATAAATCTCAAACTCAAATAAAAAAGGAAATTAAAAACTAAAATATGAATTAGACTACAAAAGTTTGCCGGATGACCTTTAATGAATACAAAAATAATAGACAAAATGTCTAATAAATAGTAAAATTAAGGGATTAATTAAAGAAATGTGAGGATAGGGCTGTTTTATGTTTTTTACAGAAATTATGTTTTTAAAAAGTTCCTTAATTATTATGACTAATTATAAAATAATTAAATTGGTTAAGTAAAAAATAATTAAAAAGTATATTACAAAGAAAAGTTTATAAAAAAACAGCAAAAATTAAAAAATTGTGAAGCGTTTGTAAACAAAAAAAAATATAACAGTTTAAAAAATCATTAGAACAGACCCGCGCGTGCGCGGGTAAAAAACCTAGTAATGATAGAAAACTGAAAGTTTGAAAATCATAATTAATACAAGTGTCCCTTACCTTAATAGTTAATACAACATAATAATTCAAATAAAGAAAAGAGAAAAAAGCATACATATATATACTAGGTTTTAGACCCGCGCACGCGCGAGTCTGTTCTAATGATTTTTTAAATTGTTATATTTAAATTTATTTTTTAATAAACGCTTCACAATTTTTTAATTTTTGCTGTTTTTTATAAACTTTTCTTTGTAATATACTTTTTAATTATTTTTTTATTTTACCAATTTAACTATTTTATAATTAGTCATAATAAGTAAAGTACTTTTTAAAAGCATATTTTCTGTAAAAAACATACAACAGCCCTATCCTCACATTTTTAATATTAATATGTTTTGTCAGTTGCTTCATAAAATTCGACATAAGAACAGATCCTAAACTTTTCTTTTTCAATATTATGACAACACGATCAGCCTGAACCAACATTGTTTTTAAATGAACCGTATTAGAAACTTGTGAAAAAAAACTTATAATTTGCCTTGTTGTCTTTGTTCTAAATTGGTAGCTTCTTTTTCTTTTTATTTATTCTTATTCGTTTTTTGTCATCTTCACTCATCTTCTTTGCTCTTCTTCGTCTTCGCTCGTCTTGCTTCCTCTTTTGGTTTCTTCTCCTCCTTTCTTCTTTGATTAATTCTTAATTTTCAATTTCATCTTCGTGGTTTCTTATTCGGTGTTTCCGTCTTCAACTTTGTTATTCTTTGGGTCTTTTTTTTCTCTTTCTACTTTGGTATCTTCGTCTTCGATAATCTTTAATTTTATCTTCTTAATGTTCTTCTTTCATATCCTCTTCATATGTCATTTTTCAGTCTGAGTATATGATTCAGCCATTTTCTTCAACAAACTTGTGGCAAATGAGAACTCTTCACTGTAAATCCTTCAAGGTGCAACAAAGATGATTACTTTGTCTCCAATAGTTTTATTGTCTACTCCTTTCCACCCTTGGATTTTTTGGCATTCCGTAGAAGGCTAATACTCTCTTCCTATTTGAATATTGTGAGTTACAGTAAAATAAAATCTTCCTTAAGGCTGTGAAAGATGTCCATGAATGAATGCCCGAAGTTTAGCTAAGAAAGCAGCCTCTTTTCTATCCTCTGTTTGGCATGCATTAGAATATGGAACACAAAATATTGTTTTGGTAATGCAACTTGGAATATTTTCTTAGAAAAATGTGGTATGATATGAATTATCAAATCTCCCTTGAACTCTCATCTGCTCCGTAGAAGTGCAAGTATACTAATTACTTCGTTTTTTCTTCCTCTTCACTTATATTCACTCATCCACACATCATCTACTTTGATCTTCTTCGTATTTGCTCGTCTTGCTTCTTCTTTAGACAAATGTGGTATGAGATGGATTATCAAATCTTCTCCGTAGAAGTGTAAGTATACTAATTACTTCGTTTTTTCTTCATCTTCACTTATATTCACTCATCTACACTCATCATCTACTTTGATCTTCTTCGTATTTGCTCGTCTTGCTTCTTCTTTTTCGTTCTTGTTTGGTTTATTCTCCTCTGTTCTTATTTGATTCCTTATATATCAATTTCATCTACGTGGTTTCAGATTCGGTGTTTCCATCTTCTACTTTATTCTTCTTTGGTTTTTTTTTTTTGTCTTTCTATTTTGGTATCTTCGATGTTCTTCATTTTTATCTTCTTATTGTTCTTATTCCATATCTTCTTCATATGGTATTTTATAATATGAATTTGTGATTCAGTCTTTTTTTCAACGAAGTTGCGGCAAGCGAACACCTTTCATTGGAAACTTCTTCAAGGTGCAAAAAAGATGATTACTCTGTCTCCAATAGTTTTATTATCTACTCCTCTCTACCTTTGGATTTTTTTTGCATTTGTAGAAGGCCCATAAACTTTTCCTATTTGAATATTGTGATTTACATAAAGATAAAATCCTCTTTAAAGTTGTGAATGATGCCCATGAATGAGTGATGCCCGGAAGTTCAGCTAAGAAAGCAGACTCTCTTTACCCTCTCTATTTGGCATGCATTATAATCTGAAATGGAAAATCTTGTTGTGATAATGCAACTTGGAATGTTTCCTTGGACAAATGTAGTATGAGATGGATTATCAAATCTCCCAAGAACTCTCCTTTGCAGTGCAAGTCTAGTCTTTACTTGTTCGACCAATATTGTTGAAATTCTTGTGATAAATAAAGTGTAATTTAGTGGGCTATATGCATATTTTTCTTTTCCCAATGTAAGTTGGAACTCGCAAAACTTGATCTCTCTTATCATCTCAAAGGAACTACACATGAATTTAAATGTCTTCTTCATGACATTAGCCGTCTTTATTCTTTTTTTTTTATCTTTTTTTATTATTTCATATCTAGATTATGTAATGTTAATATCCACTCACTTGCAAAGTTGGCTATATTTACTTTGAACAAATCTTTCAGTTATTACTTATTAGGGTCTAGTTACTTATTCTGTAACTTTCTTTTTGTTTTTTTTAAGTTAGCTAAAGTGATACGCAGATGACACCGTGAAGTTCCCATCCGAAGTTTCTCCCCATGAGAGCCTGTCATGTCTTCCCGATCTCGTATCCACCACTACGGCTGTTAACTCAAGACGTGTGGTGTCGGACACGTTCGGAGTGATCCTCTGGAAATCCCATCCGACCCAGTCAGTCCATAAATCACTAGCCGTCAAGTTAAGCATATCCTCCGGGATCTCCGTAACAGCCACATCCCTCAATATATTTCCCATGAGCCACTTGTCTGTCCAAAAACGAGTCCGTAGTCCATCACCTATCACCCATGTATGTCCAGGTACAATCGCCATTTTCAGTCCTAGGGCCACGCTCCTCCACGTTGAAGACCATGTCCCTTTTCCCAGTTAACCATGCCGCGTCATGTATGTCCCCAATACGGTACTTACTTCGTAAAACGCGTGCCCAGAGACTAGTAGAATCATGAAGCACTCTCCATCCTACCTTTGCTAATAAGGCTGTGTTCATAAGCCTTGTCTTCCGTATACCTAATCCCCCATCTTCTTTTGGTCGACAAATCTTGTCCCAACTAACCAAATGTTGTCGTCTCTGTTCCGCTGTGGAGCCCCATACAAAATCTCTAGATACTCGGTCTAGCCTCTTGATCATTGATTCTGGAAGTTTGGCTGAGCTCATTGTATGGACCGGAACCAATCCTACAACCGCCTTTGTTAACGTGATGCGGCCTGCAAGACTCAGCATGCGACCCTTCCAACCTGCAAGCTTGGATGACATTCTCTCTAGTACGGTTCCAAAGGTGTCTTTATTGATCCTCTTCTGTAGGACAGGCATCCCTAGATATCTTCCCAACTCTCTTGTAGCTTGTATACCACTCTCTGCACTTATTTCACTACTCAGCTCTCGTGAAACATTCTCAGAGAAGAATATTTTCGACTTGTCAAGACTAACTTTCTGTCCAGATGCTTGGCAGAACCTCTCCAATACACTTCTTACGACTCGAATTTGTGCTACAGAAGCTTCAGCAAATAAAATCAGATCATCCGCAAAGCATATATGCGATAGCTTTGGTCCTCCTCTCGATAGACTGATTGGCTTCCACTTCTTATTCTCCACTTCTCTTTCAATCAGGTGGCATAACCTTTCCATGCACAGGACAAATAGATACGGCGACAACGGATCCCCTTGTCGCAACCCACGCAATGGCTTAAACGGCTCTGTCTTTTCCCCATTCCACAATAGGCGCATAGACGGTCCAGAAACACATTGCATAATCCATGTAACCCACTGATCATCGAACCCTGCTGCCCTCAGCGAATCTTCCAGGAAGTCCCAACGAATCTGATCATATGCTTTCTCTAAGTCCAGCTTTAGTAGCATCCATCCTTTCTTCCCTTTATTGCTCCGCATTGAGTGTACTGCCTCCTGAACAATCACGATATTATCGATACTTAACCTCCCTGGGATGAAAATCGACTGGGCTGGTCCAATTAGCTTCGTCATCACCGGCTTCAATCTGCCAACCATAGTCTTGGTGATTATCTTGAACAACACATTACACAAGCTAATAGGACGTAGCTGTTGTATCTTCTCCTGACTTGCAACTTTCGGAATCAGCACGACCAGAGCATCATTTGTGTCTTGTGGTAGACTCCCTGTCTGGAAAAACTCAAGCACAAAACGTTTAACTGATGCACCAACTTCCTCCCAACATTTCTGATAAAACACCGGTTGAAAACCATCCGGTCCCGGTGCTTTATAGCTTCCCATCTGTCGAACTGCCATCACTATCTCCTCTTCTGTAAATGGCTTTCTTAAACTGTCAATCTCATCGCTAGTCAGTTGTGTGAACCCCTCTAGTGGCAAAGCCGCCACTTCTTGTTCCACATCGTCTAAGGAATAGAGTCTACAAAAATACTCCACCGCCAGACTCTCAAGTTCCATCGTGGTAGAGAGCCAAACACCATCCTCATTTTGCAGCATCTCGATGCGATTTCTTCTTCTGCGTATAATTGTCGAGGTATGAAAGAACTTGGTGTTTCGGTCTCCATGTGCCACCCACTTTTCTCTCGCCTTCTGGGCCCATATCAACTCGTCTTGCTCGAGGACAACATCAAGCTCTTTCAGTAGCTCATGCTTCTTTTAACCCAGGAAATTTGTTAGTACGAATGAAAGCTACATATGGCCATTAAGAAGATTTAATCTTATATATAATTAGGGAGTTCTCTTTCCATCTATAGTGTCCACATCAGCACAAAAAATTAATATATTTAAAATATTTATTAAATACATGACTATTGATATTTCCTTACTTTTATATATTCATATTTTAAATATTAACTTGAAATAGTATATATTTACCTTTTTTATTCAAATGATTTATCTTATTTAAAAAATTGATAATCGGTTTACATTTTAAAAAGTTGAGTAAAAATTAATTAAGATAATAGAAAGCTAATGAGAAATTAGAGTTAGAGTTTTTTTAAAAACAAATAGAAGATGAGTTATTATATGTAAATTTAATTGTAGTGAAAAACATGAAAATTTTAAGAAATGTGATATGTTTGTTTCAAAGAAAAAAAATTTAATTTACAAAACTAACATATTAGAAAATAATCAATCGTCATGAAGCTCACATGTTACCACAGCAAAGTAGATATGTAAAAAAGTATACATATTATTATTTTTTTCATCTTATTTCGGGTGCAAATGCGATTTTACATTATGTTTACAAATTTTAAAGTTGAGAGTCAAATGCATATGCACATTTATAGTCTAATAGAAGTAAACAAACATAACAAAAATATAAAAGTTTATAATTGTCTGATTACCCCCTAGCATTAAAACTCAGTATAGGCGGTGTGGTAGTCCATATGATGAGTCCACTTTGTAGCACTGATATACACATATATTAACATACATTAGCATACATTTACATGCATATTTTCATCCTACTAGCCTCATTCTCTTACATTTACACCCACATATCTCTATCTATTCACTTGCATCATCATTAGGACTTGCATTGCATGTACATTGCATTTTGAGTCTGAATCAGGTGTTTAATGGAGCTTTGGAGCCATTTGGGAGAAGGAGTGCCGGAGACGTCAAGACGAAGAGCAACCAGGATGCGAACCAGGATCAGAAACCCGTTTGTTTTGCCTTACAAGCTTTCCTTGACCAAGAAGAGAGTTGACCATGCCTTAATGAAACGCGGCGTTCTGGAGCTTAAATCTTGGGGAAGGAAACAAGAAGGGTTTTAGAAGTCTCCACTATATAAACTAAAAAGTCCTAAGTTTTTAGGCATCTTGTAATTTGTCTTTCATTTTGCCACCAAGAAATACTCTAGTTCGAGATCTAAGACTTTGTAAGCTTTGGTCTCTTTCTCTTAATCAAATCACGTACTTGTCTATTTGCATTACTGTTTCCATCTCGTTTTACTTGTGAAACAACCTTCCTCTTATGAGAATCGGGTTGTCAAACAGGATGAGTGAGTAGTCTTTAGATTGTTTTAGGTGATTCGGTTTGAGAGCTTTAAAGGAGAGTTTGGGCTTAAAGCTAGAACCTTTAGAGTTTCTCCTTGCTTAGTGCCCTTAAGGCTGAGTCATTTCTGATCATCTTGGCTCAGATCTCAAGCTCTCAACACATCAAAAGTGTGATTGACGAGCTAGATGATCTAAAACAAGGGATCCGCTTTTCTAGCTCGCGATAGCGATTTGTTTAGAAAGCTTTTTGGTGATGGGATCTGCGTTTAAAGCTTGCTTGTGTGTAAGCTCACTGACGATAGTCAGCTCTTGAGTTTAAACCTTGCATTCGAGCTCACTCACGATAGTGATAAGTTCTTGCTTTCGTTTTCCTTAGCCTAGAAACTCGGTTTTATCTCCTAAGTCTTAAAGCTTCTTCCTTTAGCTCGATTTTCATCCGAAATCACCTAAAGCCGTCGCCTTTCTTCTTTTCCTTGTTAAAGTTCAAGTCTTTTAGCTCAAAGTCGACTTCTTTCCTCTTTGAACCTTGATTTGGACCGTTATTTCACTGTTCTAAGTTTGTATTTTTACTGTTTAACGTTCGGATTTTATAAAAACCAAATCTTGTTCTTGGCTTGAAGTTTTCTTGTTCAATCTCTAGAACCCAATCTTCCATGAGATTTGGATTGATACCTTAAACTATACTGCAATGATATGAGCAGAGATTTGAGGGTTTGGATCTATCAAAAATCTTGTTTTCAAGCACCTCAGTGCGTTCCTACCGGGGCTAACCGAATGCTGATAGGATCTATCAAAAAAAAAAGGTAACACAAAACCATCATAAATTAAAACAACAAATATAAATTAAAGGATATTTCCTAAACATAAAATTATGGGAAACAACCCGCGCTTGCGCGGGTTTCCATCTTTCCTTTTAGAGTTTACCACTCTTCATAGCTTCTTGAACTTTCTTTAGTTTAGGGTCTTGCTCCCTGAGTTCCAGAGTCTACACTTCAAACCTAGTAAAGATTAATAACAAAATCAGTTCTATAAAAGAACACATTTCTCAAAATCTTATTAATCTTACAAAGGAATTACATACAAACAAAAGTAAAATTTAGAAAAAAGGCAAAGATTTACACAAATTTTCAGTCTACGATTATCTGAACGATCACGAACACGTTTGATTTTCTTTTGAATTAAGATACAAACAAAAACGCAGTGTTTGAGCCTACCTATAGTAAGAACTAACGAAACAAGAACTTGTGAATAATTGTTTTGTCGGTCCAACTCAAGAAACTTTAGTCAGTTTGCCCTCTGTGAAGGACATGGCGCGTTTGATGATTGATGATTGATGTCAATGTCAAAATGCAAATTAATGAATAACAGAAAATGTTTTCACTTTGAGCTCGTTTACATCAATTTGCGAATATGATTTGGACTATGTCACTGTACATGGTCGTCCATGGTAGCGCAAAATGAGAAGTGTAATTTAATTGGTTCTTTTAGGGTCTGACTGGTTTAACCGCTGCGGTTGCGGTTGCGGGAGTTTGCGGCTGCGGGAGTTTGCGGAAGCGGGAGTTTGCGATTAAAAGCTGTTTGTACGACTGGTATAGCAATTCATAGCGGTTGCGTTTGCGGGATATTTTTGACTGGTTAGCCAGCGGGTGCAAGAGCGGTTTAACCAAAAGTTACTAAAATAAAAATAATATATAATTATTCAAAACATTTATAACCATATTAATAATTTTTTTTTTGAAATATATTTTTTGATGAATTTTTAATTTGAAAACTACCCTTTTTTTTTGGTTTTGAAAAATACACTTTTTATATGTAAAATGATTATTCCTAATTTAATAAAAACGAAATTCAAATAAGAAATATAAAATATTAATATTTGATAATAATTTTGTATCATTTTAACATCCTAATTACCTGTTTAGTTTTTTTTAAACAATTTAATAAAAATATAAGATTGTTTATATAAAGTTTAAATGGGGTGAGATTAAAGTTGTTTATGCAAAGTTTCAAAAATATTTAAATTTTTCAAAAGATAAACATTAAAAATGAAAGATATATTTCTCCACTTTTAAATTTTTAATAATTTATAAACTTTAAATATATGTAAAGTTTTAATTTATTTAAAGTTTCATTTGGTTTGAATGTGTATGAGGTTAAGTTGTTTATATAAAGATCCAAAATATTAAAATTTGTTTCAGTTTAACATATACTATATTTATTTGAAAAAAAACTTATTAGTTTATTATTTTTTTAAATTTTCGTTTATAATTTGTAATTATTTATTATTTTTTTGTTTAAATCACGTCAAAACATACTTTTTACATTTTAAAAGTGTATTTTTCAAAACAGAAAAAATTTAGGGTATTTTCGAAATTTTTAAACATAATTATGGTATTTTTCAAAAAAATATACCCTTATTCCAAATTTGGAGATATTATGTTTTTTTTTTTTTTTTTTCAAACCGCAACCGCCCGCAACCGCAAACGCTTGCGGAAAGGAGCTTTTGATTTTCAGCGATATAGAGCGGTACAGAGTGGTATAGAGCGGTTGAAAGCGGTTGTCGTGATTGTTATAAAACGCTAAGAACCGCTACGAACCGCAAACGCTGCGTTTGCGGGTGGTAGCGGGAGAACCAATCATCACCTTAATTGAGTCTAGATATATAAAAATTGATGGAACAAATGATATACCTACAATTTACAAATAGATATAATATTGCATAAATATCAAATGATATAAGTTATAACTATTTGGTGCATCTTCCAAATACCAAGCTAGAATGATAACTTTGAAATAAAATTCAAAAATTACATTGTCATGGACAATTAAGCATTGATTACTTCCACAGAAAAAAACAAAGAAATAAATAAATAAAAACATGATGCTTCCCATTGATCATATGAATTACTGGTTGCTTTTCATTCATCCACCCACAACCGTCATTGGCTTGGCTTTATTTTCATCATATTTCGGTCCATCTACCCGCAAATGTGATAGGCATGGTTTTATTTTCCTGGATGTAAACTCCGTCACTTTTAGCAATCCCTAAACGGAGCTCATTATTACATGGAGGAACTCGAGGTGACATATTCAAGAAGAAACGAAGACGAGGTATTGGTTTAGTTTTAGGTGGTTCAGTCATCAACTCACAAGGATAGACTGAGAAAGGCATATGTTTGCTCAAACCCGCTATTCCTGGTGTAATTACTTGTTTCTCATTGAATTTCAGTTTCATCACCATTTGTCGACCACCTTTTATAACGAGGAGCATCTCACCAGAATCGAGTTTATTTTGAACTTCGAACGTATTGCAATTATTTGCTTCTGTCAACCCCAAATAAATAGCAATAAGAAGCACAAAAAGTATGAGATTATTCATTTTCTGAAACAAAATATTATGGATGAATATGAATCTAAAGGCATCAATACGTAGTATTTATATGAAACGACGTTTGTGTGATGAACGTATAATGGTTTTAGCTAAATTTAACCACAAATATGAACCAATTGATTCTTTGGTCGAAAAGGATTCAATGTCGAAAAGCAAGGATGGCCAATAAGATCAAAACATGTAAATTTTAATTTTTCAAATTATAGTTGACTAAGAGTATTGCTTGGTGAATGTTTTTTTTTTTTTGGTTAAAAATTACTTGGTGAATGTTTAAGGCAAAAAAGTATGGAATATCATCTATCGAGTTATGAACTTATGATTTGTTCATATCTAAATGAGTTCTTTTAAAACTTAGTCAACACATGTTCTTACATCTATTTTGAAAAAAATATATATAAATAATGATAGAAAACTGAAAGTCTGAAAATTTACATAACTGAAAGTTGGTGGACACTCTCCAGCTTGTGACATCTCAGCCCAGAACATGCCACGTCAGCTTTTTGTTTTCCTTCTCCCCGCTTACGCCAAAGCGACGTCGTATTAAAATGTTTTTTTTCGCGAGCAAACGACGTCATCTCGATTCACTTATGTAGAATCCTTTTTTTTCTCATCCAATTTTCTGCTCTCGACTGCTCCGCTGAGATCGGCCGCCAGATCCACACCGACTCCGGCGAGACTATTCACATCCCTGTATCCGCCGTTTCAGCTTTCAATGCCCGACATTAACTCCGCCGTTTACGACTCCTCTGTTTCGATTGCCTGCTGCCTCTGTATAAAGCTCTGCCATGTGCTCTCACTATTTTGTTTCAGAATTTTCCCCATTTCCAAGTGGCACACCGTCACACTCTTCCGTTTCAGAGGCAGGTGTCATGGTCTCCGGAAACCCCTTGCGCTCCACCACAGGCATCCTGTGCTTTCGACGAGTTGCTCTTGGGGTCCGACTACGGAGAGCATAACGATCCGCCGAGTGCAACTTGATCATGGGAATCATTTGATCGCTTTTAAGAAGTGTTTGAGTTCTCATGAATCCGGAATGTCTTTCGCAGAGCTCACGATAAGTGTCATTAAGATGCTTTCAGGTTTGCAATTGATATTATGACTTGATTCCGTTTAGTCATCTCCTATCCTGATAGCTGGTTCGACTAATGGCTACGTCTTCACCTACGTGGTCCTCACAGGAATGTTCAAATGGTGGCAATCGTGATTCTATCTTGGGAGCAGATAGATTGTAAAGGTATGAGTCTCTATCTCCTCTCACTCTCTTTATCTATAGTTCCTCTCACTCTGTTACTCTATCCAACTTCTGGTCTTTGTATTTTTAGTTAAGCCACTTGTCTCTTTTACAGTTTACAATGAGGTCGTGATAATCACTTCAGATACATGTTCAACCCTTGGCTCTATCTCTACGAGGAATGGGAGTGTATCCCAGACAAGTCATTCCATAATCCATTTAGATTCATCACCAACACCAATGTCCAACTCTCAATCAACTGTGTCAGGAAATGAGCCCACTACGTTGTTACAGTTGGTTCGACCCCTTGCTGACTGGGTCAAAATAACTGTCAAAGAAACTGTGAGTAACTTCTCTGCCATTTCCCGTCACGAGAATAGTCTGATCAAAAGACGGCTAAAGAACAGTTGCAAAACGTATGTTTGTTTCCAATATGAATATCTAACCAAGTCTGGTTTCTGTTTTTTTTTGTTCACAGAAGGAAGCCTTTGAGGTATTTGCCTTCTTCGTGACTTGGACTTCTTCCTGACGAGGTATTGCCAAATGATACCTGGACTTCTTCGTGACGAGGTGAGCACTCCTTTGTAACACTGTCTCTGAAAAGCTACTTGATAAGTCTTTGTCTTTTAGTTTTGTATGAATGCATATCAATGTGGCAATACATAGCAAGAACATTGACATCTCTTAAGTTAACTACCAAGTGTTATCATTTTAGAGTTCCAATTCCTGAACATCATTTCTTCTTTTTTATCTCAGTTTCGCATTCAATCAGATCCCACAGGAAAGCTGATCATAACAGGGCAGCCTGAGCAACTTGACAATCCTTGGGGCATTACACCATTCAACAAGGTAAAATTGTCTTTATAATCCAGATTTTGATTCAGATACCTCTTGTATTTAATTGAGAACCGTCCGCTTGTTGGCTTATCAGCAAGAATCAATCCGCTTCAGACGAATGCGATCATGAGCATGCACGGTCGGTTGTTCATACGAGTTCCGTATGAATAATGACTCATCTCAAGGGTGAGCTCTTGTTGTTTGTTCTTAGTTTCTTTTAGGAATTCATGTGTATCACAACCAAATTGTTAGGCGGTTGAAGCAGTTTTAACTGTACGTTTATTCTGAAGACCTAAGTTAGGAACAAACGATCAAACATATGTATCTTACTGTAAGAGCATGTCCATCGGAGTCTCAGGGTGGGTTTTTAAGTGGGTATCAAGCTGATTTTTTTTTAAAAATAATGTTTTAATCACACAATATGGCTGAGACGTATATAGGCGAAGAGACGAATCAGGCTCTGCTGATACCCTTACGTGTCACCCTGTGGTTGGGTGATTAAAAAAATTATAAAAAAAAAGTAAAATGGGAAAACGAAGAAATCCATCTACCATTTTCCTCAACATTTCCGTCATGTTCAGACTCCGCAGCAGCACCATTCGATAGCTTCTCATTTCCATCTCTATCCGGTAAGAAACATTGATGGATCAATTCGATTTCTTCTCTGCAAATCGGAATTATTTTGGGCTCTAATGCAATTTGTGGTATTCGCAGTTGGTGGAGAAATTAAACGATGCGATTGAAAGTGGAACTCGAGATCAAAATTCTGATGCACTGGTTTGTTTTTCCTTTCTTCGCTCTTCAAAAATTTCCAGTCTTTAGGTGGATTTTTAGGGTTTTTGGATGTTGAATTGTGGAAATTGCAGGTGAGTGAATTGAATAGCCATTTTGAGAAGTGTCAACAGCTCTTGAATTCGATTTCAGGATCATTAGGATCTAAAACTATGGTATGAACAAAAGTTTTTAAACAAAGTTTGATTGCTTCCGATCCTTTGGCTTTGCTTATGGAAATTGACTACTGATGTGTTTATAGACTGTTGATGGACAAAAGTGAAATCTAGAAGAAAGTGAACAATTGCTGCAACAAAGAAGGTAAAGCAAAATTATCACATGATATCATCTTTTGTTTGATCATTATGATCTTGCTCTTACTTTGTGTTTTTAAATCCTTGGTTAGGGAATTTATTGTGGAATATAGAAGATCTATTGAAGAGCTTGTGAAGATAGAGCCTTAGTTAGTTCCATGTTTCTCCCAACATGTTTTGAATATTCATTCTCTTATTCTCTTTTGGATTGTGTTCACCCTGAGATTTGAAATAACAAGTGTTTAACTTGATATTTTGTATATCGGAGCTATTGTGGAGAAAAGAGAGGAACTATTGCTTTGCCACTTATGGAAACTCAGAGGTTGTTATCTACGACAACTTCATGAAACTCAACTTGGCAGGTTCAGATCCAGAGAAGCCTCTGGGATGTTCAGAATCCGAGGAGCTGCGATAACACGTGCCTGTGGCTGTTCCTGACTCTTCAGGGCTAGAACGACTTATTTCTCTGCCACTACGGGCTCGGTCTTTCTCTTGACCACTCTTGCTTCCTCTGCAGGATTACATGAGCTTGAGCTTCTCATTTGATCTGCCACGCGAAGACTCAACCATAGATTGAGTGGTTGTGCTCGGATCTACAGCTGTTTTCTCTTCACTGTGTTGTAGCTGAACAACTGAACTTGTGTTCGACCGAGAACTTGAATTTGTTCTCGGTACCAACTGCTTCCTCCTGTTCTTCATCTTTGTTTGATCCTTTAATAAAGCAGAGTATAATTAAGCAAAGTAATGCTATGAGTAAAAAGCTGAGAAATCATTCTTTTAGTACCATTTCCTTGCCAAAGGTTCGCATACAATGCTCTCTGCCTCTCCTTTGCCCGGCAAATCACTCATTTGTGTTTTTTTTTTCTTTAATGTGTTTTTGTTTAGATACTTGGATATCACCATTGGAAGGGTAAAACTTATTTATCATATGCAAGTCTCTTAAACAAAAAAATAACAAAATTTATTAATAAAAAATGTTGTGATACCCATATGAGGGTATCACCAATGGACATGCTCTAAGATTCTTCTGCTGTACAAGTCGAGATTGATAGGACATATTTAAGCAAAAGTACACGACTAATGTTACCATCATCAAACTGAAATTTAAAGCGCATAACTTCTTAATGCTTCAAAAGAAACAAACTCTTATACTACTTCAAAAGAAATAAATTCTTATTCCAAAATTTAATGTTTCCTACATATACAAAGTGATTTAAACAGAACAAAATAATTTTAAGAATAAAAATAAAATTTTAAAAACATAAACCCGCTCTCCTAGTCATAATTAATACAAGCGTCCCTTAACTTAATAGTTAATACAACATAATAATTCAAATAAAGAAAAGAGAAAAAAGGTACATATATATATATTGATGATAAATCCCAAAGTCAAGATTGGGTCGTTGTAGACTTGTAGACATGCTGGAGCGATCAATATGTTTGCCGAGGAAACATGGGTTGAGTTGGAAGTTGAAGCCACGTCAATGTTGAAGGATTCCCTACCATGGTAGCGCAAAATGAAAAGTGTAATTTAATTGGTTCTTTTAATTGAGTCTAGTAGTTAGATAGAAATTGATGGAACAAATGATATACGTATAAGTTACAAACAGATATAATATTGCATAAATATCATATGATATAACTATTTGGTGCATCTTCCAAATACCAAGCTAGAATGATAACTTTGAAATAAAATTCAAAAATTACATTTTTGTAGACAATTAAATTATTGATTAGTTATACAGAATAAAAAAACATGATGCTTCCCATTGATCATATGAATTATTGGTTGCTTTTTCATCCATCCATCCCTCCACAACCGTCATGGCTTTATTTTTATCGTCTTTAAGGTCCATCTACCCGCAAGCGTTATAGGCTTGGTTTTATTTTCCTGGATGTAAACTCCGTCACTTTTAGCAATCCATAAACGGAGCTCATTATTACATGGAGGAACTGGAGGTGACATATTCAAGGAATTAAGACGAGGTGACGGTTTAGTTTTAGGTGGTTCAATGACCAAATGAACAGGATTTAATACACTACTCGGCACTTTCCTAACCCTGATTCCTGGTGTAACTACTTGTTTCTCATTGAATTTCAGTTTCATCACCATTTGTCGACCACCTTTTATAACGAGGAGCATCTGACCAGGACCGAGTTTATTTTGAACTTCGAACGTATTGCAATTATTTGCTTCTGTCAACCCCAAATAAATAGCAATAACAAGCACAAAAAGTATGAGATTATTCATTTTCTGAAACAAAATATTATGGATGAATATGAATCTAAAGGCATCAATACGTAGTATTTATATGAAAACGTTTGTGTGATGAACGTTTAATGGTTTTAGCTAAATTTAACCACAAATATGAACCAATTGATTCTTTGGAAGAAAAGGAATACAATGTCGAAAAGCAAGGATGGCCAATAAGATCAAAACATGTAAATTTTAATTTTTCAAATTATAGCTGACTAAGAGTAATGCTTGGTGAATGTTTAAGGCAAAAAACATGGAATATCATCTATCTAGTTTTGAGTTTACAATTTGTTCATATGTAAATGAGTTCTTTTAAAACTTAGTCAACACGTCCTCTTAAATCCATTTTTAAAAATAAAAATAAATAAATAATGATAGAAAACTGAAAGTCTGAAAATCATAATTAATACAAGCGTCCTTAAAGCCTTAATAGTTAATACAACATAATAATTCAAATAAAGAAAAGAGAAAAAAAGCATACATATATATATATTGATGATAAATCCCAAAGTCAAGATTGGGTCGTTGTAGACTTGTATAGTCATGTTGGAGCGATCAATATGTTTGCCGAGGAAACATGGGTTGAGTTGCAGAAGTTGAAGCCACGTCAATGTTGAAGGATTCTCTACCTTGGACCGGTTGGGTTGCTGAAGTGGAAGCCACGTCAATGTTGAAGGATTCTCTAACTTGGACCGCTTGCTCCTCGTCATCGTCTTCGTCGTCGTCAGTTTCCAGTATGTGGTGTGCCTGTGAATCTCCATGCGAGGAACCAATCCTCTCCAGCTCCATTATAATACTGCTCATGGTTGGTCGTTTCTCCCCTTTACGATTCAGACACAGCCTCGCAATCTTGGCCATAACCTTGACCTGATCCAAAGCGCAGTCGTCTCTGATTCGGGGATCGATGATGTCCAAAAGTGGCTTCTCTTTCATGTCACGGAGGAAGTTTATTGCTAATTTCTTGGGATGTTGAGGCGGCGGTTGGAGGATGTAAGGTTCTTCTCCAGTGAGGAGCTCAGCAAGAACCACACCGTAACTATAGACGTCACTCCTGTCCGTGTACTGGCTGGACTGGTGGTACTCCGGGTCAAGGTATCCGGGAGTACCTGAGACCACAGGTGTGGTCAGGTGGGTGTCGTCCACGGAGATAACTCGAGAAGTTCCAAAGTCCGCCAGCTTAGCACGATGCTTGTGGTCAAGCATTATGTTTGCGGTTTTGACATCCTTGTGGTAAATGGGACACGTCACAGACGAATGAAGGTAACCAAGAGCATGGGCGGTGTCTTTGGCAATGTCCCATCGTAGTTCCCAATTAGCAGCCGTGTGACCACCTTCAACATCACCGTGGAGAAGCTCGAAAACATTCCCGTTGGGGATATATTCATAGACCAAAACAGGGACTTCCGTCTCCAGGCAAAATCCAAATATACTCACGATGTTGCGGTGGTTTATTTGTGTGAGAACCACGACCTCGTTTATGAACTCTGCCACTTGATCTTTGTCCACGGCCTTTGCCTTCTTTACTGCGACGATCCGACCGTCAGGGAGCATTCCCTTAGGGTCCACCTTGGCCAAGGATCCTATCCGAGCTGAAGTTTTCTGTGGCTTTCTCTATTTCTTTGGAGGTGAAAATAACTGTTTTCTCCACAGATCTGTCTTCCCTTGAAGTCAACTGTTGCTGTAATAGAAGACCTCCGTTACGCTTAAACAACTGCCTCCTGAGCCTCAGCTTTCTATGCCTCTTGACATATTTGTACAGCCAGAATCTTAGTCCTACGAGCAACACGCCCAAACCTATGCTAACCCCTGAAAATCCAGCAAAGACCAAGGCAATATACATATATTAGCTACGTGGTGCATCTTTTGCGGGATAAGATATATATAATTTGTATATACTTTAAGAGATATCAACTATGTTATGTATATATATTTTTAATATGGTATTATGCATTTTTTTAAATGATAGATCTCATAAAAATATATATTTATATTTATAATATAAAGTTAGATGTTGTTTTTTCACTATTATTTAGATGATAAATATAAAAATGAATAATAATGCATGCGGTTAATTCTCATAAATTCTAAAACATAAATATATATATGTCCCACGAGTTAGGAGATAACTTGGATAGAAAGTAACAGAAAAAATTACCTAAACAAATTGGCCAGGTTTGATTCTTCTTGACTAGGCAGTGATGGCCTCCTACAGTATTTAGACACGTTTCGTCGCTATCACATGGATTGGGACGTCCATTTTCACACTCATTAATATCTACATGTAAAAGAAAGTGTCATGAAATATTAATATCCAAATGCATGATTATGCATGATTAGCTAGTAGAGCTCCAAGAACTGACCTTTGCATCCATGTACATCGTATTCGTATGGGTTACCCTCGTAACCATAGGTGCATGCACACTTTAGTAAGTCGAGGTAATCACTATTGTCTCTCCGATTGCAGTAGCAAGGTGTAGACTGAAATTTATGCTGTTTTGTTATTTATCTTTACCTCCAAGATAATACAAGTATGACTTTATTGACATATGGAATTCTATTCTCTGCCAAGATCGTGTTACCTGAAAACATGAATCACTGAATGGTATGTTTTCTCTCTTTTTTGTTTATCCTCATTCTTTTTTTTTTGTTAAAGGGCCTGTTTATCCTCATTCAGAAGTCAATTCTGTATTTTTTCTATCTGTATTTTATTTTTATTAATTTTCAGCGTCTCATGCTGCTCTAATTTCCCTACAGAAATTTATGTTTTTTTATCTTCTCTTTTAATTATTCAGTACACATAGGCTTTTATCCAACTCTATTTGGTTTTTAAAATCCAAAACGTGCAAGCTACGACAAAAGTTCTTGACAATTGGACGGTTTTTCCTGGGTGTTGTGATTAAAACCTAAAGTATATAAACTGTACATGTGATTTACACATTAATAATAGGATACCGACTCATATGCCTGGGTAAATGGCTAAGACAATGAGAACGAGAGATTGAAAATTATCTTTTTTTAAAAAAACACCATTACCAATCTGCAGCTGGTTTCCTCAATTGTGTTAAGCACAAGGTCCAAACTGAAATACCAAGTATCAACTCTTTGCGTTTACAATTCAGATATTACATTTTATCGATACACTAGACAACGAAAACATATTCATTACATTTTGAGTGAGAACCACGACATCGTTTATGAGCTCTGCCACTTGATCTTTGTCCACGGCCTTTGGAGAGGGAGACGGCCTTCTTTCGTTTCTGGTCCCTAATGTTTTATTTCTATCACACAAATCCTCACTTGTTTTTAATTTTACATTTTGTGCCCTCTGGGAAGGAGACTGCGCTTTTGCTTTTCATGATTGATGTCAATGTTACTTAAAATGCAAATTAATGAATAACAGAAAATCTTTTCACTTTGAGCTTGTTTATTTACATCAATTTGCGAATATGGTTTGGACTATGTCACTGTATATAGTCGTCCATGGTAGCGCAAAATGAAAAGTGTAATTTAATTGGTTCTTTTAATTGAGCCTAGTTAGATAGAAATTGATGGAACAAATGATATATGTATAAGTTACAAACATATATAATATTGCATAAATATCATATGATATAACTATTTGGTGCATCTTCCAAATACCAAGTTAGAATGATAACTTTGAAATAAAATTCAAAAATTACATTTTCATACACAATTAAATATTGATTAGTTCTACGAAAACAAAAAACATGATGTTTCTCATTGATCATATGAATTATTGGTTGCTTTTCATTCATCCATCCACAACCGTCATTAGCTTGGCTTTATTTTCATCATCTTTCGGTCCATCTACACGCAAATGTGATAGGCATGGTTTTATTTTCCTGGATGTAAACTCCGTCACTTTTAGCAATCCATAAACGGAGCTCATTATTACATGGAGTATATCGACTTGGCGGGTTCAAGAGGAATGTAAGACGAGGTGACGGTTTAGTTTTAGGTGGTTCAATGAACAACTCAGTAGCATCGGGTTTAGGTGGTTCTTTTAACTAGGCTCAATTAAAAGAACCAATTAAATTACACTTTTCATTTTGCGCTACCATGGACGACCATATACAGTGACATAGTCCAAATCATATTCGCAAATTGAAGTAAATACCACAAGGTCCAAACTGAAATACCAAGTGTCAACAACTCTTTGCGTTTACAATTCATTTCATCGACACACTGCACAAATCCCGGGTTACGGCGACTCCGTAATTTACGCTTTCGCTCCCTGGTTACTCTCACCCTCCTTACTCGCCGCTCTCTTCCGCATCCAGCGTCTTCTCACAACCACCATTCGACCTCCTCGCGGTCCGCCGATTTCAGGGCAATTTTAAAGTTCCTCACTTTGCATAGTTTAGTGCCTAAGATTTGTTCCTGTCAAAGTAACAGTCACACGTGGCTATGCTGGGAGCATTGTGGAATATCAGGACTTTGTGGTATGAATCTGATATTATTTGAGATGGTTTGTGACTTTGTGTCATGGGGCTTTTTGAAACGGGTCCGTAACTATGCTCCACTACCTCCAAGAGTAAGATTGACACTCGGTTGGAAAAAATACGGGCATAAACCAGAGAAAGAAAAACTAATATACAGCTAACGAAACTGAAGCAAAGAGAAGGAAGAGCGATAACTAAAAGAGAAATATATTACAACAAAAAATCCGGACTTGGCTTTCCTCTCTCTATAATGGATGGTGCTCCCGTTAGAGGTATTATTATCCCATCATATGTTCACAAACTCACTCAGACCTTTTTTGTTAGTTTTGTAACCAAGAGCATTGAGACATTGTGCAGGCGAATCGATACCTGTGAGGCTGTTCTTGACACCATACGATCTGATCTGACACAAACGCACAAGAATTTGACTGATATCCTACTAAGGTCAGATATTGATACTCCATGCTTATGTTGAACAGGATATAGTCATCTATGTCAATTCTCATGCGGTATCAGAGTTACAGCTGATAATAGCGCTTTTGTTAGAGTCTCTTCCGTAGATTTAACCGCTGCTATTGAAAATAGATGCTTCACCGTTAGTCCGATCAGAGGGCGTCCTTTTTTGCAGGTAGATGCTAGGCATGAATTTTATCGTTAACGAGGGTTTATTGATGGGTTTTTCCAACTTTGTAGATGCTGATATGGAGGACTATGGATTCGAGAGTATTCCGATGAGGAACAAGAGGAGCAAGACGTTGACATTGAGAATCAGCATTACAACTCCAAAGGTTTCTTTTTGTGTTCGGTTATGTTATTGTATTCTCAATTTCTGCTGTTGATTCAAATGCACCCTCAGCTGCAGCTTGCGTCATCGCAGCAGCATTGGCAACGTTAAAGAAATCTTTCTTTCTCTCTCTCTTTCTACCAAAGCAGATCACACAAGATAACATTTTCTGTATCTGTTTTGGGAGACAGGTGAACAAGGGCGTGTAACACGGTTGCTTCGAGTATACAGTTTGGTCTTGTTGGGATGTCTGAGCACGTTTTCCACCTTAATGGCAGAGTTCAATGCCATGAGAGGAAGTGATCACCCATGGAGAGCCTATGCGTATGCATTTTTTCCACCATTGCGGTTGGAACAGTTATATACTCGGTCCCTGTTTGGGTTGTAGGTTTCAGTTAAACTTAGATAAGTCTTGTGCAGAGAGTTCACACATGTGAAAATAACATTTGTCCGTAGATAGATGAATGAATTAGATTTAGATCGGTCACAATCAAAGTTTACATTGTGGCATTGTGCAGATTTTTTAAGAGCAAACTTTTATATTATAATGATGACATTAGGAATAGACGTTGTAATAAACCACTAAGTCTGTGGTTTCCATAAGATAAATGAATACGAACCTCTAAAGTATGAGAGGGCCCTGAAGGAAGAAATTGTGTCCAGAGAATAGGGTCTGGGATGGGATCCAATGCATTGTAGTTTGTGAGCAATGGAGCAGTTAAGAGAGATGTAAGTGGGTACATGCTTTTCTGAAGAGACAAAGCAGCAGCACCACCACCGCCTAAAGCAACTCCGTGACTCACGACCACCGGTTTCTCTATTTCCTTGCCGTGACTCTTTAGCTATGGTTTCCTTACCGGTTCCTTTTATCGGTTTCAGAGAGCTATGGAAGAAAGTCATAATTGGAATACCTTAAACCAGGCGCCTACACAAGTAAGTGTTAATCAAGGTAGAGGATCAATGCGTTGGAAAATAATTGGCATCCTCCACCGTTGGGTTTAGTTAAGTGTAATGTCAATGCAAACTGGCCTAACAACCATCTACATAGCGGTGGAGCTTGGATTGCACGGGACCCAGAACCATACCAACGTTAACCGCTATCAGAAGTGAATAAAAATAAAATGTCTATGTTGATAAAAAAAATTCAACAATAGTAACAATCATTATTGTATATATGGATCTTTTAACGTTGTTAACATCTTTTTCTCCTTAGCATTAGGAGGTTGATGTTGTTTATTTTTCAGCTTTCATACTGCTCTGTTTCGACATTACTGGTTTTCTTACAATGAAAGTTTTCAGACGAT